GTAGGATGCCCAGAAGGAAAACCCTAGTGAATATAAAAGCAGAGCTGTTACAGCAGAACTCAGACTGGTCTGTGGGACCTAGGGGGACTTTCAGTGGCTTTGTACCAATTTTCTGGAGAAGGATGTATACTTTTGCCCCCACAAATATTGTTCTTCCAGTAATTAACACTTAACGTCATGTCTTTCCAGGGAGACTCTCTGGATTTCCATGGGATCATGATTGCTTTTTTTTCCCTGAACATCATTTCTTCTGTCAGCTCCAGCAAGCGGGAACATTGACATGGTTAGGGAGGACACACATCTTAGCCACTATAACTGCCCATGTGCTCTGCAGGTTCCTACCAGATGAGAGGCAGAGCACCAAGAGCTGAAACCATGCTGAAAAGGAATTTTGTCTTCTATTTGCCATAGGATAGGGCTCTTAGCTGCTAGGGAGGAGCTTATGCTGTGGGATCAGGAGCAGAGCAGGTTGGGGTTGCAGGGGATCCCTGCAGATCCCCAGCTCTGCAGACGCCCAAAAGTGCAGGGCAGAGCATGGGGGATGCCTCTGCGCTCAGGTCCCTGCAGCGCCCAGTAAGTCCGGGTGAAGATGGTTTGCATGCTAGAAACTTGTTTTCAGGAGCTCAGAGGTGTCTACACACTCTCCACCAGAAAGGTGATAACCCCAAGACCCCATTCCTGATGGGCAAGAGTCACAGGCTGGTGCTGTGCCTTGAAACCCACCTGGAAATGTCCCTTTGGGCCATATGCAGGCAGGAGGTCCCTCTGCTCGAGCACCTGTCCTGGTGGAGGACAGCAAGGGTTTCACCGTTGGCGCTGATGACACTCTGGTTCTACAGGACCTCAGTGAGTTCCCCTAAGTCTGGCAGGCAGAGCCGAGCGCAACGAGAGACCGTAGGCACGCTATCCATGCAAAAGCTATTCACAGCTCTGTAATGATATGTAATTGTTTGTATGCGGTCAGCTAAAAATTATCCTGATAGGTTCCACATTGCAGACACTTCACAGAAGAACTGCCGTAGTCCCGCGGGTAACACTGAAAATACACACATTTTTTCATTTAATATTAAAACTCGGGTTTTGTATGAAAAATTCACTATCACCTTTCTGAAGTTCTGTGCTTGCGCACAAAATAACTTACTTTTTATGTGCAAAAATTGAACCCGATTAGTTTACAAGATAATCAAAAGCGAAGGCTTTTAAAAGAAATACAGCATCTGTTTCTTTGTTTTCTTCTTTTTTTTTCCTGTGTTCCTGGTGATCTTAACAAGACTGAAACTTCAGATACTTGAATTTTCTGTATAATTAAAATAATTTGTCGTCTTGTGCACAGATGGTACAGAAAAAATCCAAACCACACAGCAAAGGTTAGAAAAAAGCTCAGCTGGTGTTGTGTAATGGGAGAAAAATGATAGTTCCAAAATCTCCATAGTCTGACCTGTAATCACAAATACAAAACCTGCTGTTACCGCGGTTGTACAGTGGGGCTTGGTATCGCTGCTTGTCGGGGCTAGCCTCAGTACTACTTGATAGGCATCTCCTACCTTAACATGTTTAGTTTTCTTTTAAGTGTCATCTTCATTCCATATTGCCTGCATTTGTGATATCTGGTGTAGGGTAATTAAAACTTCTCTGTGTAGCATTTGTGTACCCCGAAGTTAAACCTTATTTCCATTTGAAAATAACTTTTTGTGCATGGAAATACATACAAACCAGAGTTTGTTCTCTCCTGGGAGCTTTTAGAAAGATACTGCAGGCAGCTCTGAACATGAAATCTTATCCGTGCGGGTCCCCTTGTCCCTCTTCTGTCCCTGCTCACATCTGGCCAAGATGATGGATGCTGCTGGGCGATGGGCTCCTGCTGCCCGTAGGAGCAGGGTCCTTCCAGGAGATGCTTGGGAAGGGAAGCTGCAAAACCAGCCTGGTCAAAGATACTGAAAACAAGCTGAGGGAAAATAGAGGTGCGAGGCTTTTCCCCATTTTCTGCCAAAGTGATGTTTTCAGGTTGGAAAGTGGCTTTTCAGGTTGCGATTGACACGTTTAGGGTGAACCTTGCTCTGGCTGGCGATGAGCGCTGTTGGTGCCTGTCGGCTGTTTCAGATGGGGTGCGATCCCGTCTTTGCACGAGCGGTGGTGGTGGGACCCCCTGCCCATGGGCAGTCCCAGCCTGCAGCATGCTGGCTCCTCTCCAGCATCCCACACGAGTGGAAAATCACTTGAGACCCATCTCAAATCAGTTGGGGCAGGGCTTTGTCATCAGGTGGATTTCGTATGTCCCCGTCCCTGCTTCCCTCTCCCCTTCCTGGCACCTTGTTTTAGCTTTGATTAAACCTTTTGGGTTCAGGTTTTGGTTTTTGGGTTAGGGTTTAGCTGCCTACCCAAAAAGTTGCTGTATTTTGGAGGGATATAATGAATCGAAAGCAAAGCAGAGTGTGAATAAAACTGGAACGCAGGCCTGTTAAGGGCTGTAACTGTAACTGGACGGCGGATGTTGGGGAGAGGAGTCTGCCCGGAGCCAGGGGGGACCCATAGAAATATTTCTACTCAAGCTTCTTAAATTTTATATTTCAATCCAATTAAAAAACCTGTTCCTCTCCCTTCTATTCTCCTTTTTTTTTTTTTTTCTCCACCACTCTGAATAAAACTTTCTCTTTCGGCTCGCAGGATTTTTTTTTATTTTAAAAGAGTTTTAAGTTGCTTGGTTTTTAGTTTCTAGTCCGTCCATCCCCCCCCCCCATGAAATAATTTGTCTTTTTTTTTCTTTAATCTGTGTTCAAACTTTAGTGGTAACTTGTTATTTTGAAGACTGTGATTATAGCGTGATTCCTTATTTTCTTCCTGGAATCCTTTCTCAGTTTACAGTTTATATAACTGATGTGACAAACCTTTCCTGCCTTACTGTATATGCTGTTGCGGTTAGACGTCTCTACCCTTCACTTAACTAAATCCAATTGTTTGCTTTCAGTGCGGATCCAATTAACATGCTATAATAGCTGGTTCTGGACTTAATAGAACTGGTCAAAACTTTTTAGAACTGCCCACACAACGTAAATCCCATCTGGAAGTTAGTTTTCATTCTGACCTGGAATGAAAGCAAGCAAGCAC